TTTTGACTTTCTTATAAGAATTGATTGGTGCTTTATTGATCTCCCTAGCTTCTGGAAAGGTGAAAATTGTGGCAAAAATTTCTCTTTGTTGTGCATAGCTAACAACAGCTATTCTGCTTCCCTTTCTGTCATGTTAGTTTGTTGATCAAAACAGGATAACTGTTATTGGAACATTTTAATGAGTGCCTGGAAAATGAATTTCTACTGATTATTTCCTATCGCAGGACTTAGAACACTGTAATTTTCTAACCTATCCAGCTGCCAGAATGCACTGAATGATGAGTGTTGTTAGGCGTTTTTAAGAAATCTGTACGGGTTGGAGAAATCTTCCCACCAAGTATTTAGCTGAGCCTTAGTCTTTCCACCTCAGGCTTCCTGTTAGGAAGGAAGCTTGGCAGTCAAACCCTTGTTAGGATAAGGTCAAAATTATGGCCCCTCTCTTTCCTCAGAAAAAATATGTACACAAACAATGTTTAGTACAGTTTTTTACTGATTCGCAAGCCTTACTGTTTTGATGGATAAATTAGATTTCCTTGGGTGTGGGAGAAAAGCACATAGCATTCACCTTTTGAGCTTTCTGCCATGTTAGTGGAAGAACAGTTGCCTGTTGCTTTTCTGATGAGAGCCTGTCATGCATATGCAATTTTCCAAATGGCCTTAAATTTTGTTAAAATGAGATGATGGATAGATAGGTGGAATGTTGAATAGGTAGAAATTAAAATTTCAAAACCATTCTTTCTGAATTTATGTTTTGATATACATCATGGTTTTAGCACTGCTGGAATCATATATATTTTTTTCAAGAATAGAGGAGTGATCTTTAGTCTATAACATTTTGTTATATTACATTGAAAGTAATTCTCCCTTTCCTCTCCTTGTAATTTTTGTCACCACCAACCATTTGCTTGTGCAAAGGCAGGAGAATGAAGCTGTTAAAAGCACATACTTTGGAGCCAGAGTATCCAAATTAGAGTACATTTTCTCTTCTTGCTGGCTGGTCACTTTGAACAAGTCACTCAATTCTCTACATCTAATTTTCCTCACTTAGAAACCTGGCAGTGATAATAGTATCCACCTTAGCAACATTAGAGGATTAAATGAGTTAATGTTTATAAAACATTTAGAATAGCATCTGGCATGTAGTAAGTACTGAATGCTTGACAAACACAGGTTTTCAGCTGTGGTGGTTCTGTCATGAGCAGTTTGATGGTTACTAATAATGGAGTAAAAGTGGCAGCACTTTTTTTTTTTTTGTGAATTAGAGAATGTCAGAGTTTATTGCCAAGTGTATTTTGCTGTCAGTTTGTCTTGTATTCCTTTTTATACTTCATTACTAATTCCTCTGATATTTCAAAATAGCATACATAAAATTACCACATGCCACACACTATGTTAAGAATTTTACTTATTTCTCACAACACTCCTGAAAATAGACTGTATTTGTACCCCATCTTCTAGGAGGGGGGAATGGCCTCACCTGGAAATGATAATACACTTCCCAGGGTGTATGTGACTGGTGGTGCTAATATGTATGTCTGGTATGTCTGACTCCAGGTCCCTTCCCCTTGCTTGGAAACAAAAAGGAGCAAGAGTGCTGCAAATGTGGAGGAATAAATACACTGCCCATTGTTCTCTTGTCACCTCAGGAGTAACAGGGTACTCATAGATGGATATACCAACCATCAATGGCAACATCTTATGAAAGACTAATATTGGATTATTTGTGATAATTGCTATTGGAGTATAAACTATAACGCTCTATGGTAGCAATATTCTTGCATATTTAAAAGTAGTAAACCAACCTTGAATACCACCTCAACTATTTCTAAGATCATTCTGAGATGAAATGAGTTCATCCATGAAAAGCATTCTGTATAGGTTACGACACATGACAGGTGCCCAATAAATGTTAGCTGCAATTCTCAATTCTCAGATTCTGGCCTATCTCCCTGAATTTTCAGAAGTTAAAAGATACTCAGAGTCACATAACAGACTCAAACCTTGTCTTCGACCCAGCTTTCTCTAAGGCCTATTGGCTTCATTCATGCAAACCAGACCATCTTCCCCACTTCTGCCCAGTTACTGAAGAAGTCTCCCAGCCACACTAGTCTAGGAGCTTGATATTTATTGGTTTATTCTTTAAAATAAGTTCAGCAGTAGATTTTGTTTGTGTTGAAACACTTCAATATAATTTGAAATGTTTTACCTAGTTACTTAATTTGTGCTCACCTAGCACAGTGTTTGGTGAAATTTCAGAATTTGTAAATTTCTTTCATAGACTCCTTCTGTGAAGTCCAGTTAATGAGTATGAAGAACTGGTCTTTCAAAATCTTATTACCATCCTATAACATACAATATGAGGTTCTGAGATGTCTATTGTCCTGCATGCATATTCACATTAAATTCGTAATTTCCCTACTTTAAAAAACAATTTCCTTGGAAACAAAATGTCTACACAGATTTTGAACCTGCAAAAAATAGCTACCTGACCTCAAGGTACATTAATTTGAAAATTGATACTTTCATGAATATTTAATTTTTAAAAATATGGACAAGATGATTGCTATTTTAGTTGATGTTCTAGTTCTTATTAAAATGAAGTCATTTAGTTTTTACAAAAAGGACAACTTTTCCATCAATGAAAATTAATTTTTATGACTTTTGTAGCATTTAAATCTCTTGTAAGTTTAATGGCAGAATTCCAAAGATGACTTTCTTGGAACTTAGTAACTAAAAACATTATACATTCATTCTTCCAGGAACCAATGTATTGCAGGAATTTGAGCAATGCCTACTATTGAGTGGTTTGGGGAAGATAATCAGTCTAGTGAGTTAAAGTGTCCAAATGCTTTAGGTTAAAATGATATGTGTTTCTATGAGAGTCTCATTATAGATCATCTAATCAGTGAGTCTGAATTTAAACTTTGGTATAATTTTGGTATAACTTATTATTGGGGTGGGGGGCGATCTCTAATTCCTTAGCTGCAAATGTATGTCAATACAGGAATTTCATGAATTAGACATTAAATTAGGATATTGTTTAACTTGTAACTATTATAAAAGTAAACACCAAGATTTGACAATTTTTATAGTTAGAAGTAAAAATAGCTCCTAATACTGAGGGTAGCCTATGCTCTACCCTTAACTATGCTCTACCCTTAACTAGGCTAAAGTCCTTGTTAATACTTTTTCATTTCATCTCCATTTGATGATTAAAAAGAAAACCTGGTGGCCCTCCCTGGTGGCGCAGTGGGTTGAAGCATAGCACTGAGAAGCTTAAGCCACTTCCACATGAGTTCGATTCCTGTCTGCCCCGGAGGAGATCCACATGGCGTGGCAGACCTCTCCTCACCCGCCCACTGCTCCCCTCAGCAGTGTACTTCGTTGATCTGCCTGTTCTGCTCCCCACTCTGTCTCTGGTGAAGCCTTTCACCCTCCGCATCTCTGGCCTATACCCCAATTCTGTATGAATAAATAAATATTTAAAAAAAAAAAAAAAGAAAACCTGGTTTTGCTGAAATCAGCAGCTAGTAAATTGCAAAGCTAAGATCCAAATCTCACACTGCCTGACTCCTGCCCTGGGTTCTAAACTACTTATTTCTACAGCCTGTGTACACTCTGTGCTGTCCACTAAGCTACTTTACAAAATGTGATGTGGCTTAACCCACACTATAGCTTCCTGGAGGAGGTAGACATGCATTAGCTCCATTTAATAGACAAAGAAACTGATGCTTAGGAAGATCAAATGACTATTCCAAGGTTTCACCATTATTCTTTATCATTCCTCTGGAGACTTTATGTCCATAATAAATGGAAGATTGTTTTCATGTGCTATTTTGAATTTGAAACTTACTGGAATTTAATTAAATCTTTATCATATGATTTAAATTTGCCATGTGTATTATGTGGTTCTGTGATGTATCAGAATTCCTTAAATGACTTTTTTTCTCTTCAACCAAAATCTTAGCAGTACCAATGCAAAATACCAGTGTGAAATGTCATAAAACAGGTTATTCCAGCCAAGAATCAGAGGTGGGGACAGCCTTAAATTGTTCAGGCACATTAAAATCAAATCAGTGGTGAAAATACTGGTAGTTTTTCAGAAAAGATACTCTGTTGCACATTAAAAAATGTGTCTCCTAGTGAGGATGATCAAAAACTTGGACATATTTATATCTGTAGTCACAGAAAGCAAAAAGATAATTTTCATCATGGAATCAGCACCCTGCAATACACAGTTCTTCTTTGAGTAACTATTTTACTTAAATTTTGCAATGATTTTTATTCATTTTGCTTATTATCATAAATATCTGTCTACATTAGGAAGCAAAATTTATTAAGATGTTTATATTTAAAATACCCAAACATGTGAGCCATTCATGACATTTTTTAAATGAATGCAAGAAAGTTTACTGCAAGAAAGAGTATATTCATATCTGCAACTCACTTGTCATTCATATTTTTCTTATTGCTTAAACAAGAAAATTGTTTCTGTAATATGAGTTTAATATCAAGCTAATAAATGTGGTTGGCTTGCCAAGTGATAAGCATAACTAATTCAATTGAAATATCTTATATAAAGTAATCAATATGTTGAAGATTAAAGATTTAATGCAGTAGCAAAAACTCATAGTCAGTAAAGGAGTATGTTTCATTTTAAGATGGATGATGCATTGTTCACCAATAAAATAAAGATAAAAATTCAGGTACAATTGAGTCAACTAATGTAGATGCTAAAAATAAATGGCTTTATTTGAAGAATCTCTAAAGTACGTAATTGTGGATAAAAGGAAACCCATCTTCAGTGTGTATGAAAGAAAACTAGGCTTTTGATAACTTCACAAGGTACCTTAGAACAAGTTGCCAGACTCCTTGAACCTGCCTCACTGCTAAATAAAATAATCATTTGTCTTTGGGGGATGCTGACACCAAGACAATGGAGGTTGCAGTTGTGCTAACAGTTGTTTCAGTATCTCACTTGCTACTCTGCTCACTTGCAGGTGGATGGCAAACACTCCGATGAAGCTGCCTTGATCCTCCACAGGAAGGGATTTGATTGCCGTTTCTCTCATAGAGACACAGGGCTGTTTTGCTCCAGCACCCAAGGAAAGGTGAGCTAAAGGGTTATATAAAGTTGGTGTGCTTTGAAATCCTTATTTTTTGCCAGTAATCCTGACATGTTAATGTTTCATTATTTCTTTACTGACTCATTTCCCACAGCTACAAATTAGCTGAAATCTTCCCCTTCCTAAGAAAGCATTTTCTCAACCTTCATTCTCCTTGTTGGCATCAAAATGCAAGTTGGTACATATGCACTTTCGAAAACATTGTTCTCATTGATTCTTAGACCTTCCATTTCCAACTTACAAAACCTTTTCTCCCCAGTTTCCTTCTCTACCATATTTCCTCCTTTCCTAGACATGATTGTGTATAATCTAGTTCAGCATTAGTAACCCCAAGTTTTATAGGAGCTAGGGCAAAATTTATAAGCAAAGTAAAATAGGGTGGCAGTAGGGAAGCTACAGAGAAAATTGAAAATATGGCCAGAGGGATATTCAGTCATGGCCTACCAGGCAGCTGTACTTCCTCCAGGACTTATTGCCAGATGGGAAAATACTATTCAAAATCTTCTGATTAAGCCAGATTTGCTTATGAGTCCACACTGCTGACTGAGCAGATCCTCAGGCTATCACTGCCTGCTGGCTCCCACTTCAGATTTCTCTTCCATTGTCTTGCTTACAGTTCCCTGAAACCTGTCCTTAGAAGGAAGTGAACCTCTGGCTCTGAGCAGGTATAACTCCCGAGAAAAGCCACTGGGCTGGGTCTAGCACTCGAGCACGTTTGCCTCATTGCACAACTCAGCTGACCCTGTTCTCCAAAACCCAGACACTCTTGTAGACTAGATTCAAGTGATTCTGTTCCAATCCTGCAAAACATGATCATCAGGTCTAAGAAGGTGTGATAGGGGATCTAGAGCCACTTAGATATATGTTGACATTTTTTTTTAATCTCACTAAATGTACTGATGTCTATTACTTCTTAAATTACATTTACTCTCCACTTTACTGTTGAATACCTGAGTATAGTTATCTGTGAGCGTGTGTATACAAATATTAAGACATTGAGCCTTAAGGGAGCCATACAATCCAGAAGAGCAATTATTAGAATAACCTGGCAGGATTGAAAGTAATATTTTCCAAGCATCCTCACTCTACACAGGTAGGATGATACCCTGAGTCTTCTTGCATCCCCTGTATTTCAGCTCTATTGAAATAGGGGGGAAAATGTTGAACACAACCACTGTTAAGGTAAATATAGGCTGAAAGAAAATGCAGTGCCCTTCCAGCTTTAGGGCCCACCAGTATCCTTTCTTACATCGAAAAAGTGACCCCAACATATAGTTTTCAAGCAATATAGAGAATGATTGCCAACCAAATTGCCCTTATCTTTACCAATTCCCTGTTCTCCAGGGATGGACTTCATTTGATTTTATTTTGTTGTGGTTTTTTTATTATTATTACTTTATTGTATTTTATTTTAAAGATTTACTTATTTATGCATACAGAACTGGGGTACAGGCCAAAGGTGCAGGAATGGTTAGAGGATTCCAGAGAGACAGAGTGGAGAGCAGGACAGGCAGATCTACTGAAATACACTGCTGAGGGGAGCAGCGGGTTGCGCCATGTGAGTCAAATACCATGTGAGATCAAACTCGTGCTGAAGCATCTGCGGCTAGCTTCCTAGTGCTGCGCTTTAACCCCTTATGCCACCAGGGAGTACCCAGGACTTCGTTTAAAATGCACAGGTCTATTTTCCTATCCCTTGTTGCCACCTCCTTTTTTTTTTTACTTATAGAGGTTTTCAAATATACTGTTTTATTTTTTCTTGCATTACTTTTATCTAGACAGAAATGCACAGCTAATCTTTCTCCAAGGGTGATTTATGCATTTATGCATTTTTATTTATTTTTTTTTAGATATTGGTACAGAAACTTTTTAGCAAGTTTACCGTTGCAAGTTTCATACCTTCATCGTTATCCTTGATGCATTCACCTCCAGATGCCCGAAACATAAGTGAAATTAAGTTGAGTCCCATGGAAATCAGCACATTCCGAATCCAGTTAAGGTGAATTTGACTTCATATTTGGATTGGGAAACATTAGCTTTTGATTTGACGTGCAATAAGGAAGCACATTATTTTCGCTTCTGGCTACTGTGAGAACATAAGTTCTGTGATTTTTGTTTTTTAATCAATACATTTAAAAAAAAAAGCCATGCTATACATACTATAAATCAGTTTTGTTTTTTTTTTTTTTTTAACATACCCTCTATGAACTACCAACTTCAGTATGAGTTGATTCTACAAATGAAGAAATGTCTAAAGACAACCTCTCAACATACTATATCTCAGGTTATATGCTAACTAATTATATCTGTGTTGGGGTTGTGAAGAGATTGTTTTAAGTATTCATATAGCTGACCCTTTATTAGTTTTACTAGAATATCCATTTTTACCAAAATGGAATAAAAAGCTGGTGGGTGATAGCTAATGGCCAAAATGGTTGCAATTATTCATACACATGAGAAAAATTTTATGTGTTGAAATGTAGAAAAGTGCGATCCATCGACCCTTATGATATACATAGTTGATTTTCACACCTTTTTCTAATATACCACTTGACCCTTCCCACCCTTTGTATTTCCAGAAGTATTAGATTTTAAATCATTCAATAGTAGGGAAAAAAGCATATTTTCATTACTTGACAATGTGGGATAGGTGCAATTTATTCCATTGTCATTAAAATAGAAGAAGCAATTCCATAGGTACCATAACCTTCGTTAGGTACCATAAGGTGTCTTTACACAGCTCATTTGAATACAGATGTTCTGAAAAGGGGTTTTCTATTTTAACATTACCATATAAAAATAAATGTGCCTTATTTTTTTATAGGTCTTGTTAAATTTTTTGGTGTCCATATAACTGTTTGGGAAAGGGATGGGGTGACAGGGCGGGGGAGGGCATGAGTGTTTTCTATTCATAAATTGTATAATTTTTGCCTGACATTGATGGCCACATTCTGACTGGGTTCATTGAATTTGTGGTGATGTTACCCTAAACATTTTGACTATTTGAATGTACTAAGATGTCAGAAAACAAAACAAGGAAGAAAAAATACTGTTAATTAAATATGCTGCTGCCAAGGAGACTGCAACTTGAAATGAGGGTTTGGTAAACTGCAAAGTCCACATATTATTTCATTTTTATGAGGGTTAACCATTAAAGAGAAATGCTTTAAACTAGATCCTGTTTATATACACTTATTTGTAACCTATCATGATTTGTATTAAAGAATGTTTGTTCAGTGAATTGCAGATTTTTTGTATGTGCTAACCTCAAAGTGAAGTTCTGAAGCCATGTGCCATTACATTTCTGGTAAAATTTAGTTGGGATCATTGCTAACTGGACATTAAAATAAAAACAACATTGGCAATCATTTTCAACATTCAGTTTTGCAGGATTCTTTGTATACTTGCAAAATTCTCTTTGTGTTAATGAATACACGTTGTAATATCTGACTGAAAAGTTCTGCGTTCTAACCTCTTTGTAAAATATTAAAACCTAATTTCTGTGTCATTATGTCTGATTATCATCTGGATTTTCAATCAAGATGCAGCTCCTGAGATTGTTATGTGAAATGCATAAACTTCTTTTGCCTTTAATAATTAAGGAAACAATACCAGTGTTGATAAAGATATTACAAGGGAATATTTTCATGCAATAAATATGTACTGTAAGTTTCCTTCCTCATTTCGGGGAGATAAACAACTTTTAAAAAGAAGAAAATGCTTCCTTTTTGTGGACATCTACAGATGTTAGGTTTTCCAGAAGTAATCCCAGGAATAAGACCAGTGTTTTCACTGCATCTTAAATGTAAAGCTTTCCTCTGGGAGTTCCCTGTGTTCTGTGGTTAAGTGGATGTGCTTAATTGTTCCAGAAATTCTGATCAGTTGAAATAAACAAATCTTGATGCAATAACAGTGGTTTGGGCACTTCTGGTTGTTTGACATGGATCTTTTCCACTTAAGCCAGGGTCATCCTCAATGTGTGTTACCACCAACTGTTCATCAGTAAAGCAGAAATTATCTTTAACCAGCAAGTTTCTGCTTTTTATTTTTAGAATAAATCATCAGGGAAATGAAGAGAGGATGCTTTTGCTTTGGTTGTGGTCAAGAGCTGATTAAATAATTTAGCTTTTCCAGCACATACTAAAAAACATACTTAAGTTGTGATTGATGGCATATTTGTTTGCTTAGGTTTTGTTGCATTTATTATCACAGATGTTTGGTTGAACCAAACAAGTTCATTACACTTTTTTTTTCTAATTTTTAATTTGGGGTTATAACTGCAGTGTTGAAAAAACAAGCATCCTTCTTTTCTACAAATACTGAATAAAATAAAAATGGTATAAATGTATTGTAAAATGTTGTAATTACCTTCCCTTGTCTTTATTGTACTTGTGCTGAACTGTTTTCACATTCCTTTTGAAGAAAATCCTTGCTTTACTTTTGATTATGTTGCTTACCTTGGAATCAATAAGTTTTGATATTTTCTCTTGGAAGATTTTATATATCTTTTTGGGAATATGTAATATAAAATCTCTAATAAAAGATAAACATCATATGCATGGTCCTCCAGAGTATGTTCTTAAGTCAATATCGTTTAAGGCTCAAATTTAGGAAGTGGTATAGTGCACATGAGGTTTGTAAGCCAACTGGGACATAAGAAATTATAGTCAGATTCCATATATTCTAAGACAGTGAGGAGAAGAGTAAGCTAAGCCATGAAACTAACAAGATCTACATGAGCCAAACCTGAGGCAAAGCAGGTTATAGTGTCCTGGGGGTGCTTCACCAGGCTGGCAGTCCTGACTAGGACCCAGCTTTAGCAAAAAATTCGTAATTTCTCAGCCCTGTAAATAATGTTAAGGTGTAGATGAGAGAATTCCTAAGACAGCCTTAGCCACGTTTGAGGCGATACCATTTAGAATCTGTCTATGTGGGTTTCTCTTTCCTGATAATCACAGAAGTACTGCATATCTGATGGTAACATGGCTGTCAGCAGAACCAACCAGAATAGTGGCCCTACTAGAAATAGCACATTTACCTAGTTTTTTATGAAATGACAATGGTGCCACTGACTCTTGATAACAGTGGGTAAGGTTAAAGTTAGTTTCAGTTAAGTCACATGAACAAAGTGGTGAGAAATAGGGTCACCACTCCCCCATTGTAAACAGCTGGAGAGTTGAATGCTATGATACTTTGGAAAGTAAAATGGCAAGCACAATAGAAATACAGTGCAGGAGAAAAAATCAAATATGTGGCTTTAAAGGAAGCACAAAACATCTAATTTCAGTTTCAGAAAAGGTTCTATAAAAAATGGAAGATTTGAGGGCTCTCCCTGGCGGTGCAACAGGTTAAAGCACCGCATTATGAAGGTCTCCGAAACCACTGCAGCATGAGTTCGATCCCCATCAGGTAGCTAACCCACATGGCACAGCAGACCTCTTCTGACCCACCCTCTGCTACCTTCAGCAGTGTGCTTTGTCAGTCTGCCTGTTCTGTTCCCCACTCTGTCTCTGGTGAATCCTCTCACCCACCACACCTCTGGCCTGTACCCCAGTTCTGTAAGCATAAATAAATCTTTTTTAAAAAATGGCAGATTTGAAGTAGTTTTAGAAGGTAATTTGATTTTAGCAGATCCGTACAATAGCTGTGTTCCCCATAAAGACCAGGCAGGAAGAAGGTGTGTGTGCAACTGTACCAGGCCAGGCAGGTTCACTGTTAATTCATACAAACAAAACTAGAATCGTAGAGCCTCAAGCACATTAGACATGCCTATGAAGCAAGGATCTGTAGACTAGCGAAATGCCTGAAGACTGCAGTTCGTTGGCATATGCCAAAGCTTGTGAGTGAAATTATCGGAAAGTAACAGAATAGGGGAGCCAAAACACTCGGCTCCATGGAAAGCTCTTAAAATGTGCCCTTATAAAATAGCAAGCACTGTTCCAATCTCCCTTCACCTGTGTAGAGATTAAGAAATTCACTTTTGTCCTTCAATTATGTAAATCTATTTGGGAAAATCTTAAAATATTTAAGTATCTGTCATATTTCAAAGAAGATAGTCCCCACTGATTTGTCACTCCTACCCCAACCCCTGTTTACTCTTAACCTCAGCTTCCAGTCTCTGGTCACTTGGAAAGTTCATTTTGCTACACAGGAACCAGCCCCAATTCCATACTTGAACTGAAACACTCCTTCATAAGCTTAACTTTGGGGTTCATTTTCCAGCCCCAAATCTACACACAATCGCTAACAAGCAAGATGCATCTAAAGTCTGGATATCTTAAACTCTTTCCACTATAACCAATGGGGCCTTATTTGTACACTTTCAATGCATGCTCTAATGTTGAGGAGACGTGTTTGTTTTGATCCAAAAATTTCCCCCTGGAGCAGATTAGAGCACTTGCCTTTGGGCGGGGAGGGGATGAGTTTCCTTGCCACATGCAGGATGGAAATCACTTTGTGCTAGCTGTTTAAAAGTAACTTTAAGAAAAACTACTTGATTCATTCATTTTGTCTTCATTTTAAATGCAATTAATAACATTAGTTTTAAGTTAAAATCTATTTTCTTCAGTAAAGTCTACAAATTCATCATCATTGAATTTATCAGATACCCTTTAATAGACCCTGAGGACAATCTTAGATTTATGTATTGAGAGTTAAATAAACATTAATGGAAGCTGTCATTTAGGCAGAGGACCTGTGCTAAGACTCTAGGGAAGGGGGTTGCAATAATGCTGCCCTCCTATAGTAAGGGAGAGAAATCCTGCTTGGAATAATGTGCCCTCAAATCAGAAAGTGATAAGAGCATGTTAGCACTTGGCACAACTTGTAGATACTAAAAGAGACACTGCCTTTTCCTAGAGTGATAAGGATACAAGCCAAAGTAGTGGGAGGGCCTGAGCTGTGGGAAGGAACATTATATCACCAAAGAGGTATGAGAGACAAGGCTTCAGGACTCCAGTAACAAACAACAGACATTTGATGTCCTGTGGAAGTTTTGTGAAGGGAACTTAAACTGGAATGTTTTGTCTAATTTAGAGACACCCTGTAATCTGTATCTGGACTTTGGACTCCACAACATTAAATAGAGATGGAAAAATGTGCACACTATCACTGGCCTGTGAACATGTTTAGGAAGTAAACGGAAGGGAGCACATGTGTAGTTATCAGGAAGCCTTAGTACTACTACACATAATTGCCAAAAATTGTAAAGAAATAAAAACATGTATCTCAGAATTCGTGTTCTGTTTTTTTTTTTAATTTAGCATGTGATACTTGAGACAATTGTTCAATGTAAATTTCTTATATGTAATAGATATATAAGACTTCTGCTGACTCCAGAACACTCTTGTGATACAATTAGGCCTTATTAATGAATCAGCCTGTAATCTTAAATTTGGAAAGAACAATTTTCCAGAGAACTGAAGTAACTAGCTCCTTTCACTGTCCACAGTCTATATTTTAGGACCCATTCTAGAGCTTAATTTGTAAACCATAAATTCAGGAATATTTTGTCACCCAGGTACAAGGTTAAATAATTGATGAGGCACATTTTTAAAATTTGTTTAGCTTTAAAGGGTCTATTATTTTAAAGTTTAGTAAAACCTTGTCATCATGCAATCTCTTGGGTTTATGTCACTGAAGATAATGATGAGGTTTTTTTAATCTAGCACACAAATACATAAAGTGAAAAACTAGCCACCATAGATTAAAACCCTAACATGCTGGTATGAGTGACGGTTCAACAAAGATATAGCCTCTGTCTTGTAGCTTTAACAAGAACAGGAAAAGTAGAGCTCTGGAATACAAAGACTCAAATTAAAAGGTACTCAGGGGGCGGGGCAGCACCAGCAAAAATGATTGG